CTGTCCTCAGTCCTCAGCTCCCAGTCGTCTAGTCTGAGAGAGCTGGACCTGAGTAACAACGACCTGCAGGATTCAGGAGTGAAGAACCTGTGCGCTGGACTGGAGAGTCCACACTGTGAACTGGAAAATCTCAGGTCAGTATTTTGCAGTTTTTTTTAAGTTTACCCCGTAAAATATCATTAATCTATTTAATATTGTATTTACTTATTAAAGAACCTCTTTGGACCAAGATCACTTAAATTATACTGAGTTGCCCCAGAAGTGGCACCAATATTCAAGGGTTCTGGTGTTTTCACTAATTGAGACTTTCAGGTTGGATGAGAAGATTATTCATTTTTTACACAGTAATTATTAATGCTGTTCTTAACTATTTGTTTAAATGATGCAGCCCCAACGGGACTATATAAAGTTATCACACGATTTATTTCATATCACTCTGAAAAGCATATTGAATTAGTGTGTGTTGGACTGGATTGGTAACACTTTACGCCATCACTAAAAGGTGACCGTGAGTAGAGTCAACAGTGTGTGTGTGTGTGTGTGTGTGTGTGTGTGTGTGTGTGTGTGTGTGTGTGTGTGTGTGTGTGTGTGTGTGTGTGTGTGTGTAGGCTCTCAGGCTGTCTGGTCACAAAGGAAGGCTGTGCTTCTCTGGCTTCAGCTCTGAGCTCCAACCCCTCCCATCTGAGAGAGCTGGACCTGAGCTACAATCATCCAGGAGACTCAGGAGTGAATCTGCTGTCTGCTCTACTGGATGACCCACACTGGAGACTGGACACTCTCAGGTATGGACATATCTCACTCTCTATCTCGGTTTTCTTCTTAGGTCCTGATTGTTAAATCTCGACAATTACTGATTATTTTGAGACAAATTTAAGCTCAGACATGAATGATAATTAGATTCATTTATAGAGATCCTTTGACTTTAATTCTAGCACTACCAGAAGGTTTAAGCCTGTGTTGTTTAGGGGGGAAAAACGTTTGCTAAAATGTGCTAAAATGTGTAACACACTTGACAACACTTGCTCCTCACGCTATACCATAAAATAACGCAGATTCAAACTAGAGACCATCTTGCTGGATCCCTCAATTACAACGTAACAATGGGGGCCAATTGCCCTTTCGACGTCCTTCCTCCGATTACGCCCATTTTCAAATTAATTTAGACTTTTCAATAATAACATCAAACATCCTTTTCTGCTCAGATAAACCCCTTTTAGCTTATTGTATTCTCTGATAACTGAAATGATGCCTTAATATGACATTTGAAATGTTGACAGTCCTTTAACTGATGTGTGAAGTGTCCTTGATCATTCAGACTGTTCCTTCCTCCAGGTTTGACCATGGTGGAGAGCACAGGTTAAAACCTGATGTGAGGAAATGTAAGTGTGGATTTAGGTTTTCTTATGATGACAGAACATTCAGTTGAGATATGTATTCATTATAAAATTACTGACAAGAATATATATATTATCACATTTATAAAAATAAAGAAAATAGCCTTATATGTGTTTTATGATAAACTGCTGCTGTGTTTTTTCCCCCTCCATCAGATTCCTGTGAACTCACACTGGACACCAACACAGCACACAGAGAACTCAAACTGTCTGACAACAACAGGGAGGTGACTTATGTGAAAGGGAAGCAGCCAAGTCCAGATCATCCAGAGAGGTTTGAGTTCTATCCTCAGCTGATATGTAGAGAAGCTCTGACCGGTCGCTGTTACTGGGAGGTTGAGTGGAAAAGGAAGGTTTATATATCAGTGACTTACAGAGGGGTCAGCAGGAGAAGAGACAGTGAAACGACAATGTTTGGATGGAATGATCAGTCCTGGTCTCTCAAGTGCTCCAATGGAGAGTTTTCTGTCAGACACAATAACAATAAAACAGTCCTGCCTCCCTCCTCCCCCTCCTCCTCCTCCTCCTCTCCCTCCTCCCCCTCTGGTAGAGTAGCAATGTATCTGGATCATCCTGCTGGCTCTCTCTCCTTCTACAGAGTCTCCTCCGACACACTGACCCACCTCAAAACCTTCAGAACCACATTCACTGAACCTCTGTATGCTGGGTTTGGGTTCTGGTCAGATGAATCCTCAGTGTCTCTGTGTTCTCTGTAAGAGGAGACCACTTCCTGTCCTGTTCTAATGTCCCTTGTCTCGGGGGACATAACATAAGTGTAGCAAGAGATATCTTCCAGTCGTGTGGTTAAAATGTTGGTAGTGACGCGGCTACACTTTGGTTACACGGAGAAGCAGCATTTAGTTATAATGATCCGTATATCTGCAACAGCTCCCAGTAATCAAGTGTCTCACTCTTTTTAATAAATGTTTTTTCAATGTATTCAAATGTGTTTTTTAAATGTTTCTTTTGCTCTTTGTCGTAAGTATTTTAATGTTTTTGTAAAGCCTTTTGAATTGCCTTGTTGATATGTGCTGTATAGATAAACTTTATTTTACTGGCAGAAATGTTTCTTGTCTTTCTAAAATGGTGAAATGATCTCGGGGCTGAACTCTGTGTGTACAAACTGCTGTGACATATATGCAGTTTAATAAAGCTTTCTTTAGAGCAGCATCTAATAGCTCCTAATACTCTCTGTAATAAAGTTTCGTTATTGAGTTCAATAAAGGTTTGAAGACAAAAAAATGATGATCTCATGACTCAAGACATTTCTTTTGCACCCAACATGTTTTCTAAAGTATAGTTGTAAATGGTTACAAAGGTCTTCCCTAACGTAGAAACTGTAAGAAGTGCTTGATTGCTCACTGAGATGCAGGGCAGTTAGAGTAAATGAACTGCATGGTAAATGGATATATAAAGATCTTTTCCAGTGTTTGCCAACCAGCTTGACTAGATAGCAGTAAATTGAGAAGGCCCATTCTCTCTAGAGAGTATTCCCCTCAAAGCCACAGATCTTAGGGAGAATGTATCAATGTGATTGGTGCCAGGCCTACGCATCGAAGTAGTCTCACAACATAGTATACTCCCCTCAAAGCTGTAATGCAGGAACACGTTAATTGAGGCCTACCCTGAACAGCACAGCTCTTTAGGGCTGGTCCCAGGCCTACACATAGCATTCTCACTAGATAGTATATTCCCCTCAAAGCCACAGTGCTTGAGTCATTGTGTCACATTTCTGACTTCTGTTATGATGTTTGGTCAAAGTGCCTTTATAAAACGGAGGGGAACTTTGATGAGCCTCTTAGGCTTTGTGCTCTCCTTGCAAATTCTGCCATTATTTATATTTTTAACCAAATCGAATGTAGTGGAATTTCGCAGATGTATAAAATAGTGTAAAAAAACCAAAAGAGTGAAGAACAGTAAATGTGTTTTTAAAAACTAAATTTTTTATTTTCTCAGTGTCCCTGCTGACCTGTCGTGGTCGTCAACAAATGAAAAACACAATCCGGTGAAACGATTTTATTTAAAAACTGAAGCTGCTCTGAGAGATGGAGGTGATCTGTTTAACAGAGAAGAAACTACAAAAAGGCTCTTATGGACAGAGTTAAAACAAATCTGCAGTCAGCTGATGTTTTAGGACCCAGCGGCCTTCTGGGAAATGGAGTCCACTCAGAGCTCAGTCGTCTCCTCCGCACAGATTCAGCAGAGCCTTCTGGTAGTCTCCTTTAGTGTGCTCCTGAAACACACAACAATTATATTAATACTTTAGGACTCAAGCCTCTGCAGACCCTTTACATGCACAGAAACCTTTATAACACACTGCAGGAAAGGGAAATCCCAGAATAGGCCCCCTTTAAAAATGTTTTGATGTTTGATGAATAACTTTCCCCAACATACTTTTGGACAATATCACATCCAGTCAGTGCTTTGTGTCATGGCATTAAACACAGCATGCACAGTATCTTTTGATTCAATTCTTTTTCTAATTACAGAACACATAGACCCATACTGGAGGTGGTTAAACAACACACACACACACACACACACACACACACACACACACACACACACACACACACACACACACACACACACACAGAGATACTCACAGCGATGGTCTGGTACAGAGTTCTCTTGTGCGTCTTCTTGAACTCTGAGCGGATTTTCATCAGGTCGACTTCACAGCGAGA